TGTAGCACATATTATAAAGTGCTATTTAGTCTTCTAGTGTTGCAAATTTATTTTTATTTCACAAATATTTTGAAATGTATTGAATGTAAAAGAATCATATAATATATATATGGAAAACAGTTCTGAAAAGATGTGATACTTTAGTATATATATATATGTATATATATATATATATATATATATATATATATATAGTCAGGAACTGCATGAAAACCTTCGACTGGAAAATCCTGATTAATATTCTATGTATTTCATTCTGTTATAACAGAAGATGTATTCACAGCCATATAGGCACCAGATTGTCCTACAGATGCAAATATTTTTGCATGTTTCACAAAAGCCCTATTCAAATTATCACTGAATAAATGGAAGAGGGGGTTGGAATTGTATCCAGTGCCCTCATCCTGGCCTCCATCTGTACACTTGAATTGTTTATGGTAAAAATTGTATATGTCTAGGGCTGCATCTGCACTGCACAATAATCCAGTTTTGCATCACTTTAACTGTCATGGCTCAATGCTGTGGAATTCTAGTAACTGTAGTTTATTGTGGCACCAGAGGTCTCTGACAGAGAAGCTACCGTAAATGTCTCACAAAACTACAATTCCCAGAATTTCATAGCATTGAGTCATGGGAGTTAAAAGTGGTGTGAAACTGAATTATTTCTGTAGTGCAGATGCAGCCTAGGTGTTATAGAGAATATCAAATGAATGTACATAAGAAGGGCAGGGGGATGGAGTCACCAGATAAGATTCATCTCCTTCAATGTGTTCACTATGTTATTTTGAATAATTCTATATAGACATATATTTCTTTATTACTGTTGCACCTCTGACCTTTCTGTGTTGATCCAAAACAGAAACCTGTATAGCATCTTTAGATGAGCTGACAAAGTTCATTTCTGTTTGAAAACAAAGAACATGGGTTAACTGGGAGGTAATTGATCTGGTGCCACCAGATGCTTTTAGACTACAATACTTAGTCTTTACTGTTGATGGGAGTTGTAGTTTAGAACATCTGGAAACCATCAGGTTGCTAATAGAAACCTTGGTTTCCTAGGATATAACGGGAAGCTGTAATCTGTTGTGGTTAACATATGTTACGTTTTTAACATAAAATGTGCTTTTTACTTACTGAAGGCATTTGTTTGTCACCTTTCAACCCACCTGGTTCCCAGAAGGGGATGCACAATGAGTAACAACATTTAAAAGTTAAAGCTTTAAATACGTGACTAGAAAGAAACTCCTCTTTAAAATGTGTGGCATAGTGGTATCAGTGTAGGGCTTGGACTCTGGAGATTGAGGTTCAGTTCCCCGCTTGGCCATGAAAACCCACTGAGTGATCCTAGCCGAGTCACATACTCTCAGCCCCATAAAATCCCGTGATAGGTTTGTCTTAGGGCTGCCATAATTCAGAAACGACTTGAAGGCGCACAATAAGAACCGGACAATTAAAATACAGTTATGATGTCACTGAACATTGATCTGTTGATGTGTGTCTGTGTTTGTTTGTCTAATATAGAATATCCTTTATTTATGACTAACGTTCTCTTCAGAATAAATGACCCCAGGCCTCATGACAACTTCCTTGTATTTCAGAATACAGTGGGCTCTTGGTATAGCAATAGCAAGTACATTTCTATATCACTTATCAGTGCACGTAAGCACTCCCTAAGTGGTTTACAATGTGTAAGCTAATTGCCCCCACCAAGCTGGATACTCATTTTAGTGACCTCAGAAGGATGCAAGCCTGAGTCGAGCTTGAGCCCTTGACTGGTATTGAACTCACAGCCTTGTGGTTTATGAGTGAGTGGCTGCAGTACAGGCATTTAACCACTGCACCACCAGGGTTCTTTGGTATCTTCTGGGGTTTGCTTCCAGAACCCCTTATGGACACCAAAATCTGTGGATACTTGAGCCCCATGAAATAGAATGGCATAAGAAAATGATGTCCCCTAATGAGACTTGAGCATCCATGGATTTTGGTATCCATAAGGGGTCCTGGAACCAAACCTCAGGAGATACGAAGGTTTCCTTTTTGGAATTTATATATTTTAAAAATATTTTCAAACCATGGATGCTTGAATCCATGGGAAAAATAATCGGTGGATATAGAGGGCTGACTGTAAATTTAGTAATTTAAGCTGGTTATTTTCAT